TTGTTACCATGGTCATGTATTACTCTTAAGAACAAAATGTAATGAATTTACTAGAAATTTCTTACTTATCGGTTAGATTTTAGAGACATGAGACTCTCCCTACATAAACTGAATACTATGGGAGAAATTCCATAAAGTTCAAGCGAAAAAAAAAATGCTTTATTTCCCTTGTGGTATGAAAGTATGAGTCCCCAATTAATATTCAATACAAATGAAGAATTGACTCACATTCCCAGAGAATTCAGTTAAGAGCTGATTCACCTACAGATAGGTCAAAATTTACTTAATATCTTGTAGTTTATAAAAATTCCTAATTTGAAAGAATTTATAAAATTTAGTTAAGTGATCTGTTGCTATTCACAAAATAAGGAATTAGCATGAATACAATCCACTAAAGAATGTATATGTACTGTGCAACGAAAGTAGAAAACAAACACTAATATATAGTCACATTATACAATAATTAACAGGCCACCAATTCTTCCTGACTATGGCAGACATCACAAATCAAATGATACATACTCCTTCCAGTAGAATGAGGACAACCTCGAAATCTTTCTTAACAGTACTTCTCATCCTCCAAAAATGATTAAAGTTGGGGTGTCAAGTGAAAGCCTTTGGCCTAGAGCAAGACAACATTCCAATTAATCCTACTATATGAAAATATTCACTTCATTACTCCTTTTCAGCACCTAATGGGATAAAAAGATATTCCAAATGATTAAATATTGAATTCTGCAATGAGAATATTGCAGTAATTAACCATGAATAATATATTTCTTCATGAAAAAGTCTTATAATTATTCAGCCAGTATGACCTGGAAAAGCTTGATGAGGATTCCAAAAAACTGTCGTACTCAGAGATGAAGAAAGTAATCTTAACTCCTGCTTTTAGTTTTTCATTCTTGTTCCTACATATCAAATGATACCTGTGGATGTCCTCAAAACTCCAGAAAGAGAAGGAAAAGAGTCAGTGCTTAAGCTGGTTAGGTTAAACAACCAAAGGAACCCAATTAAAATGACTATTTGGAGATTGTGCTTTTTTTTTTTGAGATGAAGTCTTGCTCTGTCACCGAGGCTGCAGTGCAGTGGCACGATCTCAGCTCACTGCAACCTCTGCCTCCCAGATTCAATTCCCCTGCCTCATCCTCCTAAGTAGCTGGGACCACAGGCACGCACCACCACACCTTGCTAATTTTTGTATTTTCAGTAGATACAGGGTTTCACCATGTTGGCCAGGCTAATCTCAAACTCCTTACCTCAGGCGACCCACCCACCTCAGCCTCTCAAAGTGCTGGGATCACAGGCATGAGCCACCATGCCCGGCCGAGACTGTGCCTCTTGAGTAACGGTCCTGTGAACTCCATTGTCAGATCCCACCTATAATCTAACCTGCACAACTCCAAGATCATTAGACAATTACTGATTTTAACTAGAAGTCAAGGAACTTTATTGGTTGAATCACCTGCATTAAACGTAACAATTAGTTTTCAATATGTACTTAAGCAATAAGGGCTATCTCTGAAAACACCAGTCCTCTTAAATAAAAGGGAAGAAATCAGTAATGCAATAAAAGAGGCATTCAAGTTAAACCTTTCTAATTCATTTTTTCTTTAACTAAATGGGATGGATGAGGGGGGAAAAAAAAAGCTCTGGAATTGGACTTAAAATGCAGGGATTAGCCAGGTGCCATGGTTCACGCCTGTAATCCCAGCACTTTGGGAGGCTGAGGTGGGTGGATCACAAGGTCAGGAAATGGAGACCATCCTGGCCAACACGGTGAAACTGTGTCTCTACTAAAAATACAAAAAATTAGCTGGGTGTGGCAGTGCACTCCTGTAGTCCCAGCTACTTGGGAGGCTGAGGCAGGAGAATTGCTTGAACCCAGGAGGCAGAGCCTGCAGTGCACCAAGATCGTGCCACTGCACTACATACAGCCTGGGCAACAGTGCAAGACTCCCTCTCAAAAAAAAAAAAATACAGGGAATAGCTAGCAGGCCTAGCCATAGAGACAAAAAATGGCCTCAGCCCACAGTTTTGAGAGCCTCGGTAAAGAGTTTGAAATCTGGTGTCCTGAAGACTAAATCAGGTTTTGTTACGTCCACAGAATATTTTTAATGTAAATAAATTGGCAATCGGAAAGTTCAACCTTTTTAAAAATGAGGATTTTAGTTCCTTTGGAAACCTAGAAAATCTGGAAACACAGAGCCCACTTTCCTACTTGTGTAAAGCATCCTGTAAGACACAAACTTTCCCTCTCCCTATATTGTCCAGGACCCAATTCTTCTCTCATTACATCTGTCTGATTCCTTTGAGATAGGAGCTATCTTTCCCTGCTTTACGAAGAGAGGTCTTGCACAATCAACTCATGAGTGGCTTGGTTAGAAAAAGTTGTGATATCAGCAACATGCTTCACTTGAGACTGACAAACCAATGACCTAGTCCTCTGGCATCTAGCTCAACAACACAGACTTCCCGCTCTACAGATGAATTCCTTTCAATCCCTCATTTCTTTTTACTGTGATATGATCCCCCTAGGAAGCACTTTAATCCATCAGACAAGGGTGCCAGGAATCGGGTCCCTAGATCTATTCTCCTAGTAGGCTCCAGTGCCTCTAGGTAATTTATGGATGCACGCTGACAGATAATTGGAAGGGTGTTTATGTCACCTCTACCTGTCAGCAATGTCTGAAACCCAGACATCATTCAGAAAGCAATATTTTTTTCAAAAAATATGAGAATTAGGCAATTTTTGTGTTTATTGGTAGTCTTAAACATCTTTTCATGATGCAGCTAAAATAAAATCTGTCATGGTTACTTTTTCTATTATAAAATTGCAAGTGATTCAGTACAATGAAAGTTAAATTTAACCCACAGAAAGTTGCCAAACTTAAGCAAAAATGGAAATAAAGCCATAGTAAAGATATATTTAAAATCCCAATTACCTAACTAGAAAAAACACTAAAGCTGGCATGCTAGAAAAGGAGAAATACAAAAATATTAAGTACTTAATTTATCTCTAAAAGAATTGATCGTAATAAATGTAACAAAAACAAAAGAACAGACCACTGACTTTTAACAGGCAGGCATATCAATCCGCCAGAGCACACATATCTACCTTCATGTGATAGTCCTATCCACCACTCGTTGCCTGGGTTTCAAATCCAAATAAGCATGGTGGTTGCTATAGTGACAATATGCCACATTTGGAACCTGGAACTTAGTATTACTAGGTACTTATAAGCTTCATAACGTCAGTACTTCCTCCCACACTCTGAATCATAGCTCAGATTTATAACTTCACAAAATGTAATTCCATTCTGTCCTGTATGAGTCAAATTTATTTTAGCAGTATAGAATACATGTCAAAAGAATCTAACATGCTAAATAGACATACTCAATATACATTCAATTGATTAATAGTAAACATACTAGCTTGATAAATTTTGTGCCATCATTGGAATCCACTGATTATTAAAATTGGGAGAGATTCACAGCTTACTAATTCTTTAGCTTACAGTTATTACAAACATAATTCCTACCACGCTTCATTTAATAAGAAAATTTGAAATCCTAAAATAACGAATTTCATTTATGGCAGATTGACATATTTTCATTTTACTCAGGAACCACTCCTAATAATTAAAGACTAATTATTGATGATGTCCAAGAAGAAGGTAACTTGTTTCTAGCAAAATGCTAAGGGAAAAAAATATCAATCTCAAATTAGAGTGTATTTCCAGAATATTGGAAAAAAGTCAGAGAACTGGAAACTCTCATACATTGCTGGTGGGAATGAAAAAATGATGCAGTCACTTTGGAAAAGTTTCCCAGTTTCTCGCAAAGTTGCATAGAACTCCCCTATGACCCATCACTTTCCTAGGTATCTACCCAAGACAAATTAAAACATATGTCCACACAGACTTGCACATGAATGGTCACAGCATTATTCATAACAGCCCAGAACTGGAAACAACCTAAATGTCTGTAAACTGGTAAACGTGTAGTGTCTCATCCTGCCGAACTCACGGCTGGGGTCGCCCTCTAAGTGTTTATTAAAATTAATAAGGTCTAATTACCTAAAACTCATGCAGACAGGGGCTCGGAGAAGAAACCTATCATAATTGGTAGTGAACGTCATATTGTTTGCAACCCTGTATGAGCAAGGCATTAAAGAAACATGAACGGAGAGCTTTGCCCTCAAAGTGTTAAAAACACCTAGAACATCTTGGTGTTTACCACAAAAGGAGTTTGTTCCAAAACCACAGCATCCCTAAAGCAACCCTCAATTATTATATAAAGAAGCAAACTCCCTAAAGCAACCTTCAATTATTACATAAAGTCATAAAGTCACTTAATCCTTTCTGACTTCAACACTCTTTGCAACCAGAGTTAACTTTGCAGGTTGTGAAGTTAGCGATCTGGTTTAAAAAACGTAAGTTAGGAGCACCAGGCTAAAAAAGAATTTTAAAAAATCAAAACTCTGTCATCACCGTGAACTTCTCTTCAACGAAAGCCTTAATCTCAGTACTGGGAACAGAAACCCTTTCTCAAGCCCTGGAGAAGAGGCTGGTTAACAACCTGCGGATCTCAGCCAATTTTTTACCAATTTTTTTTCTCTCCCTCTGAATCCAAAGGGTGGCGCTGTCCTCAATGCTTCCCCACACACCAGGGAGTGCGCGGAAGTCCACTAGCGTGGTCGGACCGAGGGGGCAGGTCCACTCGCGGCCTCCGCCCCGCCCCGCGCCGCTCCTCCTGGCCAAGCCCCCCGGAGTCAGCCCGCTAGTCCGCCCGCTTCCTCTCAGCGGCGCAATCTCGGGGAATTCTTAGAACTACTATGGGCAAGTGGGATGACTGAGAAAGACCCTACATGCCGCCACTTTCGCTCAGGGTCCTCAGCCCAAACTGAGAAACGTTTTACAGAGAAGCGTGACGACCTCTCGCACTAAGCAAGAGTGCCGCCACCTCCATCGACCGAGCGCCCAAATTAACGGACTTACAGATGTGACGGGGCGCAGTGGCCGCCGTAGGCGTAAGGGTTGCCCGTGCAGGCTCCAGCACCCCCCCAGCCCTGCCCCGTAGCCTGCGTGCGTCAGAGATCACGTGCCGCGTCTCCCGTCCCTACCGGCAATCAGGCGCTCCCCTCTTCCGGAAGTCGCGCCAGTGCGCGCCGGGCTCCTCCCACCAGCAGCGACGTCAAACTCAGCGCCTACCACTTGTCGGCCTCCGCCTACCGGCGCAGGGAGGGCTGCCTTTTCCTTACCGTATGCCTTGAGGCTTCCGGGCCGCTGAACTGTAGGAGAGAGGGTTTTGCGGTTACTGAGTGTGCCGGCCTCGGACGCATGTGAGTAGAGTTTGAGAAGACAAAGCCTGGCTCTGGGCAGGCCGCGCCCGCAGGGGCCTTTCCCCCTTTCCACAACTGGTGCTCTACTTGGTTCCGCCGAGACCCACGACGGTTCCGCCCCCTTCTTCCTTGTCATTGATGTTGTTGTTCTTGTCAGTGCCGCAGCCCCGACAGCCGGGAGCTCGAACCCGAGCCGGGGCCGCCCGGGTGGCGCGGTGGCGGCGGCGGCGGCGGCTGCGGCTGCAGCAGCTGCGACGGCTGCGGGGGCTGCTCCGGGGACTGCGGGGGCGGCCGGGAGCCGGCAGCCAGCGGCGGGGCCAGATGGCTCTGTGCGGGCAGGCGGCTGGCGCCGCGTCGCTGCCCAGCGAGCTAATCGTGCACATCTTCTCCTTCCTGCCGGTGCCCGACCGGCTGCGGGCCTCGGCCTCTTGTTCGCACTGGCGTGAGTGCCTCTTCTATCCGGCCCTCTGGCCCCAGCTCCGCATCTGCCTCCGCGTCTCGCCGGCGGAGCAGCCTCGGCTAGAATTCCTCATGCGCAAGTGCGGCTGGTTCGTGCGAGAGCTGCGTGTTGAGTTCGCCGCCGAGAACTACCTGAGCGGCTGCGGCCCGGGCGACGGAGGCGGCGTGGACACCGGGACTGGAGGGGAGGAAGTCGAGGCCCTGCAGCTCTCAGCTCGTTGGCTGGAAGTGCTGCGCACCTACTTGGAGCTGGTGCTGTGCGTGCTGGTCAGCATCCGGAACAACAGGTAGGCTTGCGGGGAGCCCCGCCCCGCCCGGTAACCGGGGGTCGCACCTTCCCTGCACCCCGACACGTATTCTGTGCGGAATAGGTGCCAGCTTCAGCGTTGTCTTCTTCAGTGACGGAGAGTGTTGGTCCTAACCAGGCGGTTTCCTCGAGCAGAAGGGCATAGCCGGACTCACGATGGTACTTTATAAACAGTGGTGGACGGGGTGTTTAACAGACACCACTTGTGGCGCCTTCCGAGCACTCATTCATCCTCTCGGTGGCCGTGGGATGGAGCTGACAGGCGCCGTCATTTACCATTTTATGGATGGGAGAGTTAAGGCTGGGAGGGTGAGGCCTGTGGGTGAGCCTTGGAAGAAACAAAACATACGTAACACGGGTTTTCTGCCTCTGAATCTGTCCGTTAGAAGTAGTTCATGGTGGGGAAAGGAGTAGGTACTCATAGGACGCTGCCTAAAAGATATTTTTTAACAGCCATTTTCATACCGGAATTAGTTTCAGCTAACTGAACGAGGCCCAAAGAGAAGAAGGAGTGTTCTTTTTTTTTTAAGGGATTGGGGAAGAAGTTCATCTTCAGGGTTGGAAGTCCCTCCCCATACACCACCACACTCAAACTTGTCCCCAGTAGTTCACCTAAAAGTAACAGTCAGGTAGAGAAGCGGGGCAGGCAACAGGCAGTTGGCCAGTGTCTGCAAAGGGTAAGCACATAACTCTTCTGGTTTTGCATCAGGACTTCACTGTAATTCTGGAACTAACACCCTATGTTCCGACCCAGTATCCATCCCAATCATTTTCTCCATCGCCACCTCCAAAACCCTATTAATTTAGATCTTCAGTATATACGTATTATAAACCTTACAGTAAAACACTTATTAGAAGAAAGTTTAAGTTCACAAAAGGAGCACCTTACGTAGGAATAATACTTCAGCAGTTTCACATTGTCTTATTTGAGCCTCTCAGTGACACTGAGAGGCAGGGCAATGATTAACATCCCTATTTTATAGAAAGGAAGCTGATTGTTTGTATGTGATTTGCACATTGTTGTACGGCATTGTTTTTCTCCAACAGCTTGTCCTTCTACAGTGAACACACTGAGTATTATGTTGAACAAGGTTGAGAGTCCCTGGTTTAATGCTAGGAGATACTTATAGGTACATGATATGGTTAGATGATAAATATATATGCCATTAATCTGTGTCTTAGTCCAGAAGTCAAAAGATAAGTATATATAACACCAAGTTGTATCTGGGACATGGCTCCATTATTTCAGTGGCCTGTGTGTTTCCCCAGCTTTTCACAAGACATTCCAATTCCTTACTTTGGTTTTATCTGGCAAGCAAGGCCATTGAAGCTAAAAGCAGGTCTTGATCAGGTTAGAGACTTTCTCAGAGTTGAATGTACGGCTAGAGGACCAGCTGACCCAAAAGTTGCAAAGTTTCAGTCAGTGAGCACTTACTAATGAGACCAAGGTTGAGGGTGAATTCAATAAGTGATTGCCAATTAGATTTTTCTGTTCTGAGATCAAATTGCACTTTTATGCAATCATCCAAAAAATGTGTGCCTTTAACCCAATTAAGAATAAGCCTTGAGCAGTGTCTAGTTATTTTTAAGTATTTTAATAACTGGTTGGTTGGATGGGTGGATAACATACAGGCAAAATGGAGATACTTCACATCTTCCTTGTGTAGCTTAATTCTCCTGTCTTTCTCTTCCTTACCCCTACAACTTTTATTAGCATCCCAATCTGCTTCTCCATAAGACCACCCATGCCTGCCCTTCTGGGTCAGCTATCACTTCTATGCACAAAACATCAGACCGTCATCTTTAATTTTAAGGTTTGTTTGTCATCTACTGTAAGCTTGGTGCTGTATGTCATGTTTCTTGGGTAGCATATTCATTCTGCATGTCTCAAAGTGTAGTGTAATTGCATGTTGTTTGTACTAATGATACATCACAGGGCTTTTAAAAATTCTGTTCATATGTTTGGAAATAATCTCATCTTTATTGTTCAAAGTGTTTTGAGATACTCTAGTGATATTGGAAAAGTTAATATGAATATTAAATCCATAAATAGGACTAATTTCCTTTAAATTTTAACAAATCTGAAAATGTTTTAAACCAAGTTGTTTATTCTATAGCTGTTAAAGCCTATCATTTCTTTCTATAATCACTCAAACTATAGACTTTGGACATTTGACAGTGCTCTTTACATTTCCAAATTAAATTTACAATGGTTTTGGTTTATGATTTCTGCCATTCTATAAGTAGAAAAGAGGGGGTGTGAATCATACCAGATCATAAGCATTCTGCTTCCAGGCTTTGTGCTGAATTCCTTTATACAGTTCATGCAATTCATTTTGTTTCGTTCCATTTATTTTCATGTCCCTCAGGAAAATAATTAAAAGTATAAACTTGAATTGTGGGACTTTTCAAGGGTACTGATCTTCTGAGAGGACAGTTGGCATTTTGCTTTGCTTGATTGCCGGGTTACATATGTACATGTGTCCTCACACTGATTATAGTTGCCATACCTATAGGTTTTAGGAACAACTAATGAGGATAAAGAATGTGCAGAAGTGCCTCTCTGAGGATAAAACACAGTCCTTCACGTTTTAGAAATTCTTTCTCTACAAGACACTAGGATACCTGTCTTCTTCATAAATAGTAAGAACAGAAATGCAGTAAGTAATCATTCAACTGTATTTTAGGTCACATAGGCTAAATTTCTTCTGCAGTTGTTCTGTAAGAAATTGTGCCTATAAGTGCAAAACAACAAATCTCTAAATGCATTTTTATCATTTAATCCATTTGTCAAGTTGAGTACTGCCTATTGAAATGCTGTATTTCAGTCTCTTTAGGAAAAAATCAAAGTTCATGGTCTCTAATGTTTATAATAATAGGTAATAGACTCAGTCACTAAAAATACCTGAACAGTAGCCATAGGCACATTGTCTTCATTGGTTTATGCTTTTATGGGCTGTATAAATGTTTTACATAAGCTTTTCTTGGGTGAAATGCTGTTGGGGCAGTACTGTTTTTTTGTTTTGTTTTTTTTTTTTAAGAATTCATATTGTTGGCCAGACGTGGTCACTCACAGGTGTAATATCAGCACTTTGGGAGGCCGAGACAGTGGATCATTTGAGGTTAGGAGTTCAAGACCAGCCTGGTCAACATGGCAAAACCCTATCTCTACTAAAAATACAAGATTTAGCCAGGCGTGGCAGCACATGCCTGTAATCCCAGCTACTCGGGAGGCTGAGGCAGTAAAATCACTTGAACCGGGAAGGTGAAAGTTGCAGTGAGCAGAGATCATGCTACTGCACTCCATCCTGAGCAACAGAGCGAGACTCCATGTCAAAAAAAAATTTTTGTAATGCATCTCTTAACACCAGGTTTTGTATAAGTTTGATTTTCTTTTTAAGATTTTAGGTAGAGCTCTAACTGCATGTATGTAAATTGACCATTTCATGACTCTGTCTGCTTGTATACTCTGTAAGTAAAAAAGGATCTATTAATGATACTTACATTTGGGTCTTGTTGATTTGGCATGCACAATGAAGACGAATCTTACCTTTGTAGTGTTTCCTACCAAGAAACAATAATAAAGCCATTTTAAAATATTTTGAGACATCAGTCTTCCTCTGTGACTCAGGACAGAGCAATCATGATCACAGCTCAGAGCAATCATGATCGTAGCTCACTGCACCCTCAAATTCCTGGGCTCAAGTGATCCTCCCACCCCAGCCTCCCTAGTGGCTAGGACTGCAGGCATGCATCACCATGCCTGGCTGATATATATTTTTTTAATTTTGTGTAAAGGCAGGGTTTCACTGCGTTGCCGCAGCTGGTCTCTAATGCCTGGCCTCATGTGATCCTCCCACCTGTGCCTCCTAAGGTACTGGGATTACAACTGTGAGCCCCTGCACCCTGCCTAAAAATGGATTTTAAAATGGGTTATAAATTCTTTGGACATTACAGATTG